TGTTTTTCAGCTTAAGACAATTAATCTTGATGTGTCGAATTTCTTTACAATAAAAACATGTTTTCTCAACCTTATTCTTTCAATTTTTAAAATTTCTTCCTTTTCCCTTATACCTATTATTGCTCTGATTATTGTAAGGTGTCTTGGGGATCTTAGAAAATGAACTTTAGGCAAAGTGGAGCTCATTTGATTTTTTTCCTCATTCTCCTCTCATCTTCAATAATGAGGTGCATAGGAAGATTCAACATAGTTATCCCTTATGCATAATGGTTTAATGCGATTACAATAGACTCCTAAGATAGAGGGAGATTGTTAAGGACAATGGATACTTACATGCGATTAGGTACTAGATTTCTAGCCGCAGTAAGGTCTTTTGGAAGCACTGTCATTTTATTGAAATGTTCGGTCACTGAGTTTGAATCTTTTATTTTGCAAGAATTATATTTTTCTAATAACAATTGCACATGGGTCTCAGAAGTGATCTCATACTTTTCATATACGACACCCATCATACTTCGAGATGTAGTGTGATCTTCATAGACTCTAATTAAATCATCTTCCATAAAACTCAACATAGTAGTCCTAGCTACTTTGTCATCTTTTAACCATTTGTCAAGTCGCCTTCTGGCTTAACCATTGGCACTTGGCTCTAAAATTAGTGGTTATGTATCTAGAACATAGTCCACCCTATCTTGGAGGAGAATATATCCAAATTTTCTTTTCCACATAGAAAATTGGTTCTATTGAGTTTTTCAAGTTTTGATAGTTCTGACATGACTAGCCTAGATATCATTTTAAATTTTAGATAATACCTGAAGGTTCAAAAAATTTATTTGTATTTAAGAATAGGGTGGTCTGCTAGTCAAATCAATATGTTGCCGTCTCTATATGGGCAGTGACTTCAATGAAGAATTCTCTCGAACAATTTATGTTTGCACTATTGTGAAGTAACAAAAAATTAATAAAGTGAGGCAACAAATTAATTTATGTTTATTCTTACACAAGATTAATTTTTATAAATGTATGAATATGTTTTAGCACAAGAGAGATAGTTTACAATGATATTTAATATTTTTCAATAAAATTATGGCATAACATAATCACAAAAAATTGAATTTACAAAATCCAGATCATGAAATTTTCTCATTTAAAGATATCAAAACATAGGATAATTATACCAAGTAAAGAACATTATAATTCAAATAGAATGTACAGGAAGAAATATCTCTAAATTGTAAAGCACATATGTAAAATTCAAACTAATATAAAGTAGTTGGACAGTACAAAATAAACAATAATGAACTTATAAATCTAATGGGTGTTGATTCCCCTTTTGTTAGTATTGGCAGTGAAGTCTATAGAGAAATAGCATGGAAGCTTGATCCTCGTTTGTATTAATAGCTCCCTATAAACTTAATGCAACTTGGCCTCATATCATTGGATAAAGAAACAATTACAATAAAACCATAAGGATCAAGGAGAAAAAAAAAAAAGCATGCATAGAAGAAATAACAGTAAACATAAACTTAAAAACATCAAGGGGAAGTAGCATGCATAAAAAAGACACAGTAAACATAAACCTGGAAGCTCTTTTTAGCACAATATGTTTTTCTACTTTCCACTTAGCAAAGCTTTAGTAAGTAGGACCCAATTACTATGTGAGCAAAAGAAACCATACGCTTGTAAAATTTGAATTTAGAGAGATGACCATTAGACGCTTACTGATAGAAGACCATTAGACGACCAGGTTTTGACATATGAATTAGAAAATGAGAAGAATGCGAGAGGTTCCCAGATGTAGTAAAAACAACAAAGATGAATTTAGTGAATAAGACAATTTTTAAGAACGACCTGTATTCATCGACTTCAACAAAATATGGATCTTGCGAGATACTATAACTCTTGTAGAAGGTAAAATAGTTTAATGAGAGAAAATAGCAACATATGATATCAAAAGATTTCAGCTAATTTTACAACAATAAGAGAAAACCAATAAATGGAATAATTATCCTAGAGATAATAACGGATCAATAAAAAATCGACTCATGGCTTAGGTGAGACTCAAAAAATAGGCAACTGTAAAGCATCAAATTGAGAATAAAAAAAATTAGAGCATCACACTCAACAACAACCTTACTCTAATACCAATGTTGGACTTTTGATGAGAAGAGATGAAAACACCAAACTCCCATGAATTGAGGGCAGTGTCGCGAGAATAGGGATCGCAGAGATCAGGCTTTACCAGAACCAATTGAGAACTCAAAGATAACTTTTCTATATATGCTTTCCATGGCCATGAAAGGCCTAGTTACAGAGGGATGGAGGAGATCATTCTCCAACGTTCGGCTTCCTCCTGGAATCTTTGATAAATGTGGCCCTCTAATCCTGGGAGATGGGTAGTAACATCTACCTGTTGGATAAAAGGCATATTCTCTCTCTAAGAAGCCTTTTAAGTGATAAATATGGAAATTAAGATAAATATTAATAGAGAGAAATATGAGACATATGAGGCCCCATGGCCACGCGCACGCACCAACAATAGGCAGTGGAGAGGGCACCTATGGTGATAGTTCTCTTTCACAACTTTTTCATGATCGTTTTTCTTTGGTTTCTTTTCTGCAGCAAGGATTTGCATTTTTTTTTCCTCGCAATCCTTTAGATGACATTGTCCGGAACATTATTTGCTCTTATAATAGGCTGCCTAACGGAGTGATCTCTCAACTTCAATAACTCTTTCTATTGCTGGAAAATATTTATATTTCACCGAATAGGGAGGATAAGATTGCTTGGGAAAGTGAAAGTGATGGAACTTTCTCAGTCAAATTTGCATATCGACTTCTCTTCCTTGATCGGGACATTCATGCACTCTGGAAATGGCCTATCCTGATGAAGATTCAATCCTTTCTTTAGGTAGCCCTTCAAGGGAAGTGCCTTACAGTAGACAATCTTCGCATTGGAGGTAAAATCCTTCCTATTGTGTGTCTTATGTGCCTCTTTCTACATTGCCCCTATTTTGATTCTATTTGGAAATGGGCTGTTTGGATGCTAGATTTCTCCTTGATGCTCCCCACCAATCTAATTTCTATTATTACCCATCCTCATATCCCCTCTTTACCTTCTAAAGGTTTTCTTATTTAGAAGATACTTAGAAGTGCTATTATCTAGCATATTTGATTGGAAAGAAATATGAGAACATTTGATGGGGTCTCTCTGGATGTCTAGAGTATTAATGACAAGATTTTGTAAAGCCTTTGGGACTGGTTCTCTATCACTAAGGAAGGGCGTAGGGTTTGAGAGCAGATATTTAATTTGAAAGTTCTTGTGTTCTCTTTTGTGCCTAAATATAGGATGGTTTCCTCTTGGATGCATCATCCAAAAAGCTCTTTCAAATTAAACTTTGATGGTAGCTCTCTTGGGAATCCATGACCAATTGGAGTGGTGAAATTCTCAGGGACCATTATAGGTCTATAATAGACCTTGTAGCTCCACGACAGCTAACCAGGTTGAGATAGTTTCTCTCCTTCATGGTTTATAAACCATTGTTAGCAAAGGAATTTCAAGTGCTATCTTGTTGAAGGTGACTCCCTTAATGTGATCCAAATGGTGCCTGATGGAGCAAAGAATTCCATGGACTCTTCACACGTTTTGGCTTAAAATCATGGACCTATGCTCCTCTCCTAAGCTTCATTTTTCCTTTACTCGTATCTTTCGTGGAGCTAATGATTCAACGGATCGTCTTGCTAAATATGGAGTCTCTTTACTTTCTATTTCTATATTTGATGTTTTGATCCCTGCTTTGTAATCGATGCTTGTGAAGCAACTTATGAATAAAAGCTTATAATATTGTAAAAAAAAAAAATATCTACTTGATCATCTCTACATTGAGATGTATAAATATAGAGAAGAAAAGAGATTTCGAGTCCTAAAAATAGTATGTCTTACAACATATTATTTAGACTGTCCATTTTCAATATTTTCATGCATTTGTAGATCTGCTTGATCTGAACCCTTTTTGGAGTTTAAAATTTTATATTTAGAGATAAAAATAGATTCTCACACTATCCTAAAAATTTCAACACCAAATTTACATCTCAGACAAAATTTGGAGGTGCACCTTAATTCGATTGTTTAAGGTAAGAACCTTATGCAAACCACGCCCTAAACTAAAATACAAAACTTAAAAATTATGCTAATAACACTTCAATTAGCTTCATTAGTGAATGTTTTTTAGCTCACCATATGAGCTATAGGAGGTAAGACTCGTATGTAGATATGCGGCTCTTTTGCATATCTTTTTTTAGATGGATTATGGACTTCATTTTTTTAAGTACATATAATATAGAAAAAGTTTATATAAGTGCGAGGCTTTAGACCATCAAAGTAGGGCGCAGCTTAACAATTTCACTAGAAGAGGTTGTTTTGATGTGTATATATCTTCAAATTGATCATTTCGACCTCAAGATGTATGGACATGAGAAAAAAATGGATTTCAAGTTTTGGAAATAGTGCATCTTGTAATGTATTTTTGGACCGTCAATTTTCAAAATTTTCAAGTTTTCATAGATATATTAGATTTACACTATTTTTGAAGCTTTATACAATTAGAGATGAAAATAGATTTTAAGGCTATCACAAAGATTTCTAGTATTGAAACATATTTCTCAGCACTATTTTAAAGTGCGCTTTACTTTGATTGTTTAGAGCCTGGGCTTTATACAAACTTCACCAATATAATATTGAGATGGAGATTATTGATAGGGAAAAGTTTATATTGACCCTAGGCTCTAAACAATCAAATTTCAAATAATAAATAAATTTAAAAACTAATAAATAATAAATAAATTTTGAGTCGTATTTGGAAGAAGCACCATTCTACGTCCATCTTGAAGATGCACGTATGGTGCCTCCGGGGATGCAAATGTAGTTATGCGTCCGCCAACATGTAACACTTTTTCAGGCAGATGAAAGAGAATCCGCATGTATCGGTATAAATGCGTGTGCAGAGAGAGGGAGAGAGAGAGAGGAGACAAGGCCGAAGCATATATAAACGCAGCGTGGAATTGGTGCGTGGGTTTGGAGCGCGACAAATGGTGGACTCAAATCAAATGGCCGCCTCCTTGTCCCACTCGACCTACATTCCTCTTCCTTCTTCAGGTTCAGGTACCTCTCTTTCTCTCTCTACATTTCCTCCCTCTTGTCTCACACTCTCTCTCTATGTCTCCTGTGCTAGGGTTTTACCTGTGCGTTAACTGTGGATCCGACGTTTGTTCATGCACTTCTTGTTTTCTGTTTTTTTTTCTTCGATAAGGATGCTTAGCGATGACTGGTGTTTCTTCTTGCATGTCTCTTTCTTATGAGATCAGGTTTTTTGTGTTGTAGATCCATGTTGATTTCTTTCTTTTAAAATTTTCGTTTTCCCTTTCTCTGATTGTTGTTTCAAGATGGATATGTATTGTTTCTTATTTTTCTTCGTGTCTTTCTTTTTTCATCTGGCATCATTTTGGTGTGGAATCACTTTCACTCTCAATTTCGTTTTTGCTTTTCGTCATTTTTGTATCTTTTTCAGTTATCTTTATCTGGATGATTCATTCGTCTCTATTTTCTCTCTTGATTAAGAAAATTGGACTCAATCTTACACGGTTGCATTTGGAGATGATTGTAATTTTTTTTTCTCCCTTCTTTTCTTTCTTGCTAGAATTGATCTTGTCTTATTTTTCACTTTCTTATGAATGTTCTTGATTTGATATCATGTTGGAGTGCACGGGTTTGCATTGCTGTAATTGAAGGAGAGGGAGAAAGGGAGGAGAGAATTGAGATACAGAGCTTGTTGAATTGTTACAGTCAGTCTTCCCTGATAACAATCTGTAGTTTATTCTACTCTTTATGTATTAGAATCTATACCATGAGTATGATGCACTGAGATAAAGCATGAACCAAAGAGACAAAGTAATAAATCAAGTATGATGTGAGAGATAGGATCTCAGGTACTAATTTAGTGCAATTCGATATGATCTATGTATGACATAGTTGTCCATTCTAACAACTTGAAGTATGTCCAAAACATGGAGTGGACCAAAGGTCATTGGAGTGTTTTTGAAACCTCGGCATTCTTTTTTAACCACTGAAACATTTCCTTTGAAGCTCACATTTACTTTCACTTAAGTGGCGATGTCAGTGACTAGAGGCCTCACCATTTCTTGCGCAAAGAAGGAGTCAAATCCTCTGTGGCGGTTGGCATCCATTTTGGAGGAGATATTTTTACAATTTTCAGCGATGTTCTGGTTTTTCTTAACTACATATGGAAGGGAGTGAGATCATTTCCTGCATGAAAGGGTTCACAAAACTTCTCTAAGTGTCTCATTTCTGGGGTCTTATTGGAGACCAATTTTGCAAATACATACATGTAAAGGAATCAATTTCATTAATGTAATTTTTGTTAACTATCAAGAAATACGAAAAAAGAGTAGAGGCCTACATAGCACATAGCACAAATGTTTTTTGTCAGTTTTTAACACTCTTTTGAAGCCTTGGAGATAGGGTTCTCCATTAAAACCAGTAGAAAGTGGTTCAAACCATACTTCAATTTTTTATTAACTAGATTGGGTGAAAACCATACTATAAGCTTGGTTTTCTTAAGACAATATAGCCTGAAGGGTTTTTCTGTTCATCACATGGAGGAGTCAATAGGATTGGGTCACAGACTCTATTGGATTGGGTCACAAGTCAACCTGACCTGGGGTGTCAGATCAAGATTTCAGGTATGTAAACTAGTGTGAAATTTTATGGGTGGGGTGCTATGATGCATGGATATGGATACAGACATGGGCATGGATGGAAGTCAATATGACTTGAATGTTTGTGTGTCTGTGTGGGAGTTATTGCAGCACACCTAGTTGCACATTGCAGAAGGTAGATCCAACGACCGTATTTAATTTCGTTTTTTAATTTTACTTTGTTTTTTCAAATCTATTTGAAATGAAATTCGTGGTGTGTATGCATCTAGCAAAGGTGCACCCAATAAATATATAAAAAAAATAATTTGAATGACAACTTGACTAAAAAAGTCAATTTTTGTTATTCAAATTATTTGTTTACATTTTTAGTGGATGCGCTTTTACTAGATGCATATATGCCCCAAATTTCATGTAAAAAGGATTTGTATAAAAAAAACAAAAGTAAAGAACAAAATACAATGTGGACCGTAAAAACTGTTTTCTTACATATATAAAAAGGATTTGTATAAAAGAAACAAAATTAAAGAACAAAATACAATGTGGGCCGTAAAAACTGTTTTCTTACACACACACACACACACACACACACATATAATAAACAAGAACCGTGAAAAAGAAGGGACTCATTATCCTTGAGATATTACTGTCACTCATCGTAACATTAGCTTGGTTATTTTGTAGATAATAAGCATTAATATATAATTAGATTCCTATATAATTTGACGCATTGTCCTTCATATCATACAATATTATGTTTAGTAGGGAGTTGAGATCTTTATGAACTGCATAGTAACAAGTAGGATATGGCTGAAGAGTATCCCCACCAAATTCTGTACCAATAGCAGCATGACCTTATTGACACTGGTATCTTGGGCAAATAGAGGTATCCGTGCATTATAGGTTTTGTGTGTTGTTGTGGGTAAGAAATAAGGGTCATATATCTCAATGAGATCATTGTTTTGAGCTTTAGATCAACCCAAGCAAACCACTGGGCAGAAATTTATGCCTTTGGGAAGTGGTATGAATCAAGAAGAGGAAGGTGATGGTGATGATACGCTGACTCGGGAAGAGTTGGTAGAGAACATGAATGCTGCCGTTGCTGAAAGAGCCCAGGCTGAGTTTTCAACAATCCATGCTAAAATATGTTCCTGCGAATTTTATTCCTGCTATTTATATAATTGTTTGGATTTTTTATTATCTTATTTTGTTAATTTACGTTCCCCCCACCTTTGGGGCAGTGGTGGCAGCAAGGTGACTGGTATGTGAATCTAATTCAATTTTAAGTTCTTTATAATGGATATTACTGAGATTGGCTTAATTTTTTACAAAATACTCAATCAAACCATGCGTACCAGAAAAAAAGGAAAAAAAAAAAAGAACGAAAACTTCCTAAAACTAAACTTATTGGGCCTTGTTTCCTTTTCCACGGGCCTCCCTTGCATGATTGAAAGTGATAGAAGACAAACTTTATCCCTCTAATAATCGTATTTAAGCTTTGAATGATCAAAACCTTTCATAATGTTTTTTACTATAATCCCCAAAATTCTTTTAAGAAGACTGTCAAGAAGCTGGTAGGTCTTTAAGGCCTTATCCTTTGTTTTGTGGATGACCTCTTCACTTCGTCCTCGGAGACTCTTTGAACTCCATTTCCTAGTTGATGTCATTTTCCTACAAAAATAGTGTAGTGATCTACAGACAACAATTTAACTACTCATTCGTTCGCCTTTGGATCGTTTTGTGGTATCATTTGTTGTGACATGCAAACACTTGCTGTTTATTATTTGGTTTGAACTATAGATTTCAGAATGTGATCCTAGGTGGTATCTTCAAGTGTTCCTTATATAGTCGTGCATGGAATGTATACACTTGCGACCATTTTCTCTCACCCTGCCTTTTGCATTTATCAGTAGTTTGCAATAAATGACCGTGGAGGATCCTTAGAGCTCGTACATAGTTATTGTAATTATTGTAAGGGTATCTATATGAGCACAATCTTCTCTCTTTTACTCAAAGCTTTGTGGTGTGAAGATATCTTTACATACAAACAATTTCTTAAGATTTAGGCAAGATATCCTGTGACATAAAATTGTATTGATATTTATAATCTCAATAAAGTTAATTAATGGGAATTAAAGGAGGAAATGCCTCTTGAAATTTACTAACATATATGATGACTGGGTGCTGATCTGTGTATATCGGATATGTAGTTTACTTTTTTGCTCTATGGGTGACACCATGAAGTTAACTCTCCAAGAAAAATAACGTTATTTGATTCAATCAGTACATATTTGATATGGCATAGAGAGCAGGAGGCTATAGTTTGGCCTAATGTCTTTTCTGTTGTGAGCTGTGATTTGATTGTGCCAGGTTTACAATGCCAGTCTAGGAGTGTATACAGTCTTTACAGTGTATGTCGGGTAGCTTGTCGCTCACATTTTTGATAATCCCTCCAACACTTTGGGAGGTCAAACCTCCTGGATATTAACTTGGTATTGCCACCCATGTTCCAGGTGGCAAAATCAAAAGCATTGGTGTGGATAATTGAAAAATTTGTCGAATGTGCTCGCTCTTCATTATTGTGTTTAGCTATGTTTGAAGTTGAACATTCAATTTTTCTAGTCCTTTCTGAATTTCTGTTGTCTGTCGTCCTTGCATATGGAGCTAATTGCTGGCCTCTCTCTCTCTCTCTCTGATTGATGTTATATGAGCTGATTGTACAGTGTTCATGTCCTTAAACTATGACAGTTGGCAAATTTTCAGAACCTGAGACCTATTCTCAACTGGTCCCTATCCATATTGTTACTCAGCCCTCCCAGCTCCCAAATGCATTTTTGGTGCCCTCTGCGGAAAGCCAATTGGTCATTGGATTTGATTGTGAAGGTGTTGATCTTTGTCGACATGGTGCTCTTTGTATTATGCAGGTGCAATTCTTTTCTGAAGATATCTCTATTTTTTTCTTCAAATTTCCCTTTCCAGTCTAGTTACCTAAACTTATTACAATACTGGCTCATGAAGATACTCCCTTGAATCATCTGAACTTGAGTTGATTGAATGGTTACTTGTTGCCTTGACTTTGTCACTGGAACCTATGGGTGAAGTAATATAATTGATATAGCAATTTTTTTTTTTTTTTTCTGAACCTTAACATTAGCATATGCCGGAAACTGTTTACATCCGATTGTTCCAACCACGAGCAGACACACTGGGACATATGCAGTGAGGAGGGAGAGAGATGAAGATAGGGGGGTTAGGAATAGTGGGAGGAGTGATTGAGGGTGGGTGTCGACCTAGCCTCACTAACAGTTCCCAGGCATGCCAAAGTGTTGGCCAGATTATTGGCAGCCCTAGGAACATGGATAAAGGAGAACTGTCTATTAGTGCATAGGTATAGGATGTCTTCCAAGTGCATAGGTATAGGATGTCTTCCAAGTGATATGCAAGCTTCCTTGAGAAAGGTCCTACTAACCAGCCCACCTAATAGCATTCATGGTGCCCTTTTCAGCCACAAGGGGGTCTGAGAAGTGCTGGAAATAGATTCTGAGACCTGTGAGGGGATCAGCCATGTATGCCATGTAGGCATTTCCGATACCTGATGGTCCTGTATTGGCAATGTAGTTCCTCCCTTGGATCCTTATCACATCTCGCACTCACGAAGGGCCAAGGCTACCAATGGAGCTTCCCTCAAAATTGGGCTTCAGAATTCGTGAGTGCACTTCCATGAGGCATGAGTGGAATCCTCTGGAATAAAACTATAAGAGATCACCACTTTCCATTGTCAAACCAGATCCATGAGATCCATGATCATATATCCAAAGTAATCCTTTGGGAGAAGTGCCCAATCAACAATGGACCCTGCCCCCATGGTCTTGTGTCTTGAGTATCCACCTTCAAAGACTCATTTGTGTTAAGCCAAATGCCCCAGAAAGTGGCTAAAGGGGAAAAGAGGCCAGAGAGTCTTCCCTTTATGGAAGAAGGGACAATAACACCAAGTAGCAAAAGCCTTTGTAACAGCTCGAGTTGTGGCCCAAACAGCATCAAATAAGCCAAGGAAGCAGGCCCAAATGGAGGATGCAAACGAACAATGATTAGAAGATGGTCAAAAGACTTTTTGGGTTTGTGGCACATGAGGCAGATATTAGGGGACACAGTCCCTCTTTGTTGCAGGAGCAGGTGGGCTCCTGTCGAGGGGACTTGTCATGGGTCACCAACCATCCAAAGCAATGATTTAATTTCTATTTAAACATATTTTTTGGGGGAATTGAGACCAATTCTTGTGTTCTTTTTATTTTCATTTTTGCAAATTCTTATTGCCTTCAAATTTGTTTTAATATTATAATTCCATTTTATTCTAAATAACTCCATATTTCAATGGTCTGTATATCTAGTTACCATGAAGGAAATTGAGTTTTCTGCTCTAATTGGAAGAACATTACAGCATGTGTTTTGATCTTTATGTATTTAGTTTACTATGGTGGACATCAATTCTTTTTGTAAGTATGTGTTTCATTATTAATCATCGATTAGTGCACTAATACCATTGGGAAATTTGCTTAACAATTAGAAAGTGAAGGGGGAGTTTACTAACATGAAATTTATGCAGGCAGTCTCCTGAAGGAACCCATCCTTTGCACACCTTTCTTTGCAAATAGTTGTGCATCCTAGACTCCCTATCTTGGTATAGGAATGATACGATAGAAACTGGGGACAGTAACTCCATAATCTGGGAGAAGTTCCAATAAACTATCAACAGATTAGGGCATTCTCACCTATGCCAATGGTTGATATTGAACTTCCAGTATTGGAATGATACGATAGAAACTGGAGACAGTAACTCCATAATCTGGGAGAAGTTCAAGTAAACTATCAACAGATTAGGGCATTCTCACCTATGCCAATGGTTGATATTGAACTTCCCATCAGTTATGCAAGGTTTTGAGGTCCCTATCACTTATTTTCACCAAGTGACCAGCATTTACCTTTTAATTAATGAAGTGACCCGTAGATTAGCTGTTCATGGTTCAAGGAAACTAAAACCTGATTAAGAAGTGATGTTTCTTTATTTTTGTAGAGGAGGTATTTGAGGCCATTTGAGGTTCCTTTATGGGAACACAGGGTCAGTCATTTAAGGAGTTTAATGCTGGGCTTGAATGTTGGAGGATTTCTTCGAGGCAAATTGGTGTTGAGGATTTCATATGAATTAACCTTATCTATGCAAAACTGTTGTATACATCCCTCCATTTAATGCGAAATATATTTGTATTATATTTGCGTATTTTCGATAATCCAAATAGCATGTTTGCATGGATGGAATTTGTCATTCTTTCTCACATTATTCAGATTAGAAAATTTTACATGCTACACATTGTTTTTTCTGAGATTATACAAGAAAATCCACACTTAAAATATAAATACATATTAAAAATAATTGTGTAAAAATTAGATAATATCGTAAGGGAACATTTTAAAAATGATTAACATAGTGGTTGATGGTTGAGAGAGAGGGAGAGTCTTGCACATGGGCCACATGTGCGCCTTTCCTAAAGCTAGATGTTAGATTTGTGGTTCTTTTACTGGCATACAGCCATGGAGCACAAGGAGAGAGAAAACAAAAAGTGAAAACATATATCAGAAAACAACTTCTATTGAATACATTACAAAGACAAATAATCTGAAGTATTTGTGAATAAATATAATAGAAAAGCAAGATATCAGATTTTCCATAAAAAGGAAAAAAACCATAGTTATAGATTCTATTTCTTTGTAAAAGAAAAGGTTAAACCCAAAGAAGTAAAATACTACTTTTAAAAATGCCTTCATATGTAGATATGTAATTATGCTTTTTATGTCTTTTCAGTGTATATTTTTAAATTTCTATTCTCTCCTCTAAACTGAATTGCTAGCATTATCAACTCTCAATCAACTGTGCCACATTCACATATCTCAGCTTGGAACTCTTAATATGAGTTGCTCAAAAAATTCATAACAGTGCATAAATATAAGGTGATTTTTTGTCTCAAACAAATATGGGGAAAGAGATCAGTCTTTTAGTTTTGGGATTCGAACATTCTCCAATTATCTTAGTTCTTGATGTTTAAATTTTGGAGCACAGCAGACTATGCTTGATAACATGCATCACTTGAACTGCTAGGTGCAGTTGGCCCCACTTAATAATTCTCCTGCGTCTTTCCTTTATGCTACAAGGAACATGGGTAGCAGCACCTACATGATGATTGATAGGGCCATCAACAGTGTTGGTTCAACTATTAAAAAAGTGAGTGAATGTGCTCATTTTCCACTGGCTTGCTTGTCTAATATTCTTAGCAAGACAATGTATGCATATAATGCTTCCACATGGCCTATTCTTGCCATCTTTTATAGTAGTTCAATACTTTCTTCTTTGTGTTGAGATATCAATGTTCTAAATGGTGGGCGGCCACTAAGCCCCAGAGGGATTCTAGGGACTTATATATGCATACATGTGCTGTCTAGATGCACTCTAATTCCATAGTTATAGTACTCCAATTTACTATAAGAATACAGTTTAATAATATCATAAATTGGCTTACTGTGATATTGAACTGGAATTTTTTAATATCATGAGTCTAGTATGCCACGATATGATACGCACCACCGTTTAACTTATTCTAAAGAAATAAATCTATAAAAATCAAGGAGAGAGGGATTACTTCAATTAATAGTATAGCTCCTCTCCTTGGAGGGATCCTACAAGCATGGAGACTGAGATCCCATTTTATAGGGAGCAAAATCCCTATTTCTCTAAATCCAGCTCCCTCTAAGATCCCTTAGAGGAACCGCGGTATCGAGTTCCTAAGGTGGGACTGTGGCCTTCCCCCCAAGGTTCCTACAACTATGGGCTAAGCTACTCATACTTTTCACCTTTTGGGATCAGGACCTTTTTACAGCACAATTGTTCAAAAGATTCGCTTTTGATTGAAATGGATACACCAATAAAATTTTGTTCTCAAAGCTTTTTTACTGTGGTAAAAATATCTAAAGTCTCTGCAGATCAAATTTGCTTAACAATGCTTTGTGATTGATCACCAAATAGTGCTAATGAATAAGAGCTCCACTTGTGTGAACATATGCAGCAATTATCACAGTCAGAGAGGTTAAAGACGGTTATTGTTTTTCACGAAGATATATGGACTTGTCTTCTTGATCTATGGGCCTGTTTCTTTACCATTTTTCATTCTCAATTGAGGGACTAATACTAGAAACCAAAACTGTGCATAAGAATACCAAAAAAGTGATGTCAATTTAAGGATCACAGATGTTCTGTAATTAGTAGCTCTGGAAATTTATATCTGCTGGTTTCTGTTATTAAAAGCTTTTCCATGGGTTTCTTGGCAGCTAGCATTTCAGGATGCTGTTTATCTCGTAGATGCTATTCAGGGTGGGCAGATGCTTGTGCAAGCATGTAAGCCTGCACTAGAGTCAACTTATGTCACAAAAGTTGTTCATGATTGCAAAAGAGATAGTGAGGTCTGTAAGTGCATTTATTTATTTGTGCTTCTACATCTTGCTCTAACTATTAATATTGGTTATCAGAACCTTGTTTTCTTGTGGTTCTCTGCAGGCTCTTTATTTTCAATTTGGAATCAGGTTGAACAATGTTGTTGACACGCAGGTGGGGTGTAATGTACATTATTTCAGCATTATGGAGATCCTGTTTTTTGATTAGTGCTTCCTTGTTTGTACTTGAGATAGAATATTGGTATCCATCTTGTGATTATCATGTAGGTCTTCTGTGGAAATGTAATCTTGTGTAAATTGCAATTGGTGCTATTTTGTCATCTGTATTGCTCATTTAATCAAGGAAATGAGCTGGTGGTCCCAAATTTTCATGTTTTGGCCTTATCATGGTGTATCTTTGTACTTGGTATTCTCTGTGACATTTTTTTTTCTTTATGAGTTTTAGATTGTGATTGCCTCATTCTGGAACTAGAAATGGCTTTGCTTTGAGACGCTTCAGAATAATCCTTCTTGATCGAGCTTTGATGTGCATATTTCATTTTCTAGATTGCCTATACCTTGATAGAGGAGCAAGAAGGACGGAAGAGATCTCCTGATGACTACATATCTTTTGTTAGCCTCCTTGCTGATCCACGTTACTGTGGTACTTTTTTTTCTCAAGTGGTTCTGTTATTTACTGTGCTTGTTTCTTTGATGGTGATCACACAACCTTGCTCCAGCATTTCCTTGAGAAAATCCTGCATTTTGTCTATGACTCTACTGATTTAGCAGAATATTAAATATTAGGAAGGTTTTGTTGTATAAAATTATGGATATTTTTTCATTCTATATATCATAAGACAAAACTTCGACCTTCTTTCCTTGCTTGGCTCTACACAGCCTATTTGGTGAACATAATAGCGATCTGCAGTTGCCACTCGGGTACATGCTAATGCTTCAACACACTAGATAATCTGATTTCTCTAGTTGATGTTCTAAAGTGACACTGGTGCCAAATTAGGTTATTCCTGGGTTCTTAAGTTTAGAGTGCTTTAAATATGGCCCATCATAAACATCACTTATTCCTGGGTTCTTAAGTTTAGAGTGCTTTAACTATGGCACCATAAACAGCACACGTTATTTTTTATCTTAGCTTCCCAGTGACAATCTTACATCAGTGAGGGCTAAGTAGTGTGATATATCCCATGGGATCACTCATTTCTTTTATTTTTGGACTCTGGATTTGTCCTGTTCTACTTTATTTGCACTTTCATTGATGTCTCTATACTTTCGTATTTTACTGTTGATTCCCTTCAAACTATCGAATACTAGTTTATTTATGCTATATTACAAATTGTGATATGTTACACGCACATAATCACCTCAATTCATAAATGGCTCGCAAGCCTAGTAGATATGGATAAGGGCTTCCTAATAGATGAGGTCTTAAATAAGTCCTGTTAGTTATAGAATAAATATGACCCTTAATAGGTGGCTTTCAACAAGCTAGGGCTACTATAGAAAAATGAGCTCCTTCTCATAGATACAAAAATGTCCTTTTCTCTCACAAATTTACTTGTTAGAAAGTTTTTAAACAAAAAATTTATTTGTTTAATCTCTCTCAATGCTTGGCCGTGCATGCACGGGCTGCAATCTAGTTAAATATAATATTTAGTTCCTTGCACTCCTTTTTTTGGGTGACTGATTTTTTAACCAGTCTTCTTTTTATGTTCTAATGAGCTGGCAAGTAATCCTTGTTTCTTGTCACAACCCCAAACTGCTTTAATGGAGAACTATGTCTGAAGATTAGGTAATAGTGTTGGTTCCTGCTTCTCTATTTAATATGCAGCGGCATACTTGTTTGAGAGCTGTATACTATTTTGCATCCAGGATAAGGATAATGCCTTGAAATTTATAAGCTAATTTCTGGCATTATGTTTATTGTTATGATGTGTGGTTGAGATTGATGCAATAATATAAAAATCGCCAACACGGATCGGGAATCGCCGATCTGGATTGAGAATTGGTGGTGACCAGTCTTGGTTCCCGAAAAGTTGATGCAATAATATAAACATCGCCAACACGAATCGGGAATCACCGATCTGGATTGAGAATTGGTGGTGACCAGTCCTGGTTCCCGAAAAGTATATGGAATCAGCCCGATCCACCCTAAAAACCTTTTGTTATTTCTTGTCTTTTTTCTGCCATTTTTTAATTGTTCTTTAACATTTCTTGGACTTTTTCCATGAAATTCATCCCAAAATCATCATATTTGAGCCCCTCATAAAAGTTTTCAAACAGAAACCGGTTTTCATCAAAATCAATTGCTCAACATCTGGGGTTTTTCTGAAAAACTGAATTCGAGGCTTTTCCCTTTTTTTGGGTTGATCTGCTTAAATCTGATTTGAAATCATTTAGATCAGTTCGAAGTCAGATTTAAATGAGACCAAATAATATTTAAATCCGGTTAAAATCTTTTTAAAATTATTTAAACTTTAAAGTTCAAAAATATAATTTGTTCATTTAAACTTACTTTAAAATATTTAAAATAATTTTAAACCTATTCATAGTTCTAAATTGTTTGAAGTTTTTTTCCTTATTTTTTGTTCTTTTTTTTTTTTAGTTGAATTTGCCGGATCTCCAATTTGCCTGATCCGGATTGCCCCTTTGGTTGATGTATATCGGCATTGCTGAGTGGGAGATTGATGCAGGAAGAAAATGTGGGTAATTGAGTCTACCTTTTTCCTGAACCTTAAACAAGTAAGATCAACAATAATAGAGAAATAACCTAGCTACAAATCAAGCTAAAAGAAGAACTTTCTTCTTTCATAAACTAAAATTTATTCCAATAACATATGTCCTCAAACTATGACATCCAACCTTGTATAAGCCTATGAAACCCTATTTTAACTTACATCCAAGTAACATTAATATTCTAAAACCTTAAAACAACACTAATATTTCAAAAATACCCCCGTGAACAATAACCCTTGAACAGTAACGCGTGAATAGCAACGTGTGAGCAGTAAATATGAACAGTACTTGTGAATAGTACTAAAAATAAAAACCCTAGAAATCCTAAAAAAACTCATAACGTTAGAAATAAACCCTAAAACTAAAACTACAATATATATCCTTAAAATTGACTAAAAATACAATATAAGAAGAATTTTATACATCCTTAAAATTGAATAAAAATACAAAATAAGAAGAATTTTGCCTCCATCATTCTCCCATTGTTGGAGTACGAGTTTTGAAGTGTGATAAGATGAACTCAACATCAAAACCACCTTCTTTAACCCTATTTTTCTTTATCAACTCAAATATTATTTGAGGTAAAAATAATTCATCAAGAAATGGGTCTTGCTATGGATATTGAGGAATCCTTGCAAATTTATCAAATTCAGTTATTTGTGAACTCCCATTAGAAATCATGTGAGATACTGCAAACTCAATTTTTGGGCCTTTATAGGTTTCCTCAATATCTATTTCATCACTTTCTGAAATTAGGGCAACAATTTGCAAATTTTGAATCGACCACACTTCCACTGCGCTACTTTGATTCAATGCCCTAAATTTCCTAGATGTTCGAATCTTCATCTTTTCTTTGTCAAAGATTGATTCACCCACAAAATCGTGATCACCATCAGAGATTAGATCCTTTCCAAAATCTTGTTCATCATCTAAGTACGTATCAAAAATTGGTGGCAGATCCCAATCTACAACCTTCTGACTTTCAATATGACCTACACCAAGATTAACCTCATTCTCATTCAAATCATGCAGATCAACTAAATCCCATGATTTATTTTCCCGAACATGAGGCTCTCAACGCGGAGCTTGTGCATAGAACGGGTGGTTGGAGGCAGCTTCATCATTCCACTCCAAATCTGAGTTGGACTTTGATTTGCGCCATTCTCCATAAAAACCCTCACCCTTATTCCAATAACATATGCCCTCAAACTATGGCATCCAACCTTTTATAAGCCTATGAAACTTTAATCTAACTCAAGGTAAACATTAATATTCTAAAATACCCTTAAAACAATACTAATATTTCAAAAATACCCCCGTGAACAATAACGCTTGAACAATAATTGTAAACAATAAATATGAATAGTACTTGTGAAACGTAGAAATCCTAAAAAACTAAAAAACCCTAGAAATAAACCCTAAAACTAGACTGCAATATTCATCTTTGAAATTGAATAAAAATACAAAATAGGAAGAATTTTGCCCTCCATCAAAGATTCACCCCAATGATCTTTGTACTTAAGCACTGGATTGATGTAAGCTTGTAATTTTTCTTGTTATAATACAGGTATATATTGTGGTGCATCTTTTGAATGGATAAATGTGGAAGGCATATTGTTTGAGCTTTGTCGCTTTTTTATTTTGATGTATGTTTGGTCTCTCATAGTCTTTATTTTCTTGATGTTTACTGTTGCATGTAGGCATATCGTATGTTGAGAAGGAAGAAGTGCGAATTCTTTTGAGGCAGGTTGGTAAAACCAGATGAATAACTAAAATACTTAACTGATTATGCTTTGTACCTTTATTGCTATGATAGTTTAGAATCTTGCTTGCCAAATGAGTGCCTTAATGCTGAGATTTCATCTTTCTTATAACATTGCTAATATAATTTCATGAATCTTGGGGTTTAAAACATATAGATGTTTGTTCAATATACCAACTTGTGTTATACAACTAGGTTTTTAGTGTTGATCGCTTTTGGTCTTACCGAATATTAAGTAGTATTTGCATAACTTCCTTGCAGTTTCCTTTGTATTCTCACCATTTGAGATACTGAAAACTATGGAATATAGAGCCTTAATAACGTTTTAAACCTAGAAGAGATGCCAATGACCTACAAAATTCCTGTAATCCATAAAGCAATTCCTGTGTTATAACCTTAAGATTTGGTGGTAGATGTTCCCACAGTGTATCTTTTTGATCCTTCATCTTTACCTCATGCCTTAAAGACTGGTTCCTTCTAAAGATGAATGACCTATGAGTACCTGTGTCTATCAAAAATGAAAAACTCGTCTCTTAGGAACTATTCCCTAGTACCAAGTCCTCTATTTTTCTCTATGGTGGCATTTGATATTTTTCTTTGGTTTGAAATCAGTAAGCATTGCATCCTATGCAGAAGAAATCTTCACTGCTATTAAAGGATTGGCCATGTCATGATGAGAGGGCCGGAACTTGTTTTGGATTACTATCAAATTGAAGCTTTATATGTCTCTATGTGGAAGGAGGCGAGAGAATTTTTTAGTTTCTCATAAAGCGATTTTAGCTATTCCAATATTTTAATTTGGATTTTGTTCAATGCGTGTTTCTCTGTTAACTGTTTTTTTCTAGTAATTTTCAGTTTTACTTTTTATTGAATTTTATCTTATGGATGAAAAATAAAATGTCTTGGCTTTCACTTGAATGATTGTGAGATTCAGTTTAAATAGTGTCTTTCAGCTAGATGTGAATAATGTAATGTATTCCCCATTAAACAATTTCTCCAATATGCTTGTACCTCATATAATGGTAATAAAATAGCACATCAGTTTCATACTTCTTTTTTGGATGAGAAATTTCACTTAAGGAAATGAAATCACAAAATATAGAGGAGTCTTAGATATTTAGGAAATCTGTGGTGGCTTAACAACACATGTTGCACCACCACAGATTTTGTACTTGTGCAATTTGGGGACCTCATTTGCGTCCTTGGAAATTAGTTGCCCCGCCCCACTAAGTTGGTTTACCCATTCTCAGCAAAGGCACCATAAAGTCTGAGAGGAAAGTTCTCTTCCTCAGCTACAGTGTTGTCAGTGTTCTCTTTGAAGTGAAGAGTTAGGGTATATACTGTTACTCTTAATGTGACTACTGAAATTGTTGTTACAAATGCAATAACGACTCTGTTTTTTCCATTTTTTTTTTGTCACTATTTGGTGATGGAAAGAGGGACGGGGGGTGGGGGAGGGGGGGGGGTGGTTTGGTGAGGGAGGGAGTACAAAGGAGTCTAATGCCCCGAAGTGCCTTCGATTAGAGGCATAAGGGCCTTCCATTTCAATTGTTGCCCCCTCCTCTCTACCATTGTCCCGTATACAAACTCACATCCACAGATAACCCCATCTTTGGTTACACACATTTCTTTACCTTCTCACTACTTCCTCCTGGCCCTTTCATTGTGGTACATCCATTTCTTGAGCCAACATCCTTCTCCAGAAAGACCCATCAGACCCTACATCTCACAGCACTGCCTACCACTTAACAGCACTTTTGGTTGATCCCCATGTTGCATGAAGAGGGTGCCGGTGCGGGTGCAGGTGAGGAATGGAAGCCAAATCACTGAGCATTCAGGATTAGGAATGCGTATGAAACAAGCATACACTGTCTATGGCATTGTATGTATGTATGTATGATGTATGTATGTAAACTGTACACCTATGCATGCATGCATGTACATAACTCTTTTGGTTGGGTTATATAAGTTCTTTCTCTAAACAAATAAATTCTATAAATCAAGATTGTTTATTATTTTATTACAAAATTTGTGATAAAGTGGGTATTTTCAACTAAATGTGTATGGATAGAATATTTTTTGTTCACTGTTTACATCACATTGCTCTTGCTTTGTGCAACTGTAAATCCTTGCCGTGTTTGAGTCTGTGTGGACCCTGGGATTGGTGTTGCTGAATCCACATGATACAGCTGTAGATGGTCTGAGCAGATGTTGCTGAGGCAAAATGATGCATAGTTAGGTAGGTTCAACTTATTTATCAGTGGTACGTGCTCCTTGACTGGCAGGGAATGTTCTTCTTTTCCTTTTAGTTGGGGAGCCAGATCCCCCTTTGTGAACCCATGGTTCCTAACATGAGGAGCTGTTGGTGTGATTTCTGGTTCTGAAATGCAAAACATATGTACTGGAATGGGGCCAGTGGCCTAGGTAGGAGGTTCCTGCACTTCGGTTGAACAAGATCTTTATATTTCATGATGAGAATAGTCTGCACTAGGAATAATGGCTGCCCTTTGTAAAGCAATAAAACAAGACATACTCTAAAAGATTGCTTAATATTTGAATGCGCATTGCGTTTATACCTCGGCATAATTTGTAATGTATGATCAATTGAGAGAGAGAGAGAGAGAGAGAGAGAGAGAGAGAGAGAGAGGAGGCGC